TTTAGTATTTCCCTGTTAATTTTCCTTGCAGTATTTTGAATAGAACTGTTTTTTCTCTAAGAAAAGCAATAGATAAAATTCCAACAGTCTCTACAGAAACTCAAACTGTTTGAGAACAATTATTAAGTTGTGAAATGCTAATGTACACAGTGTTCTTTGGCTTGAACCAGACTAGAATACAGATGCAGAATCAGTGAAATTTTAAATGGAAGCCTGATGGCTGTTTTGATCTAGGACAGACAAGCTATTTCTGTTCAGGAAATTTTGCTTGGAAAGTTAATATGATCACAGCAGTGCACAACAGCTTTTGGTATCTCTAGCTATTAATATTAACAAATTTAACCACTCATAAACTGCAACCTTATCACCAACATCCACTGAGTAATGCAGAAAAGCAAACAAGCCATAAAATCACATGCAAGAAAGACTCAGGCCAGTCCTCAATGAGAACAGTAAAAGCTGCATAAATCCTTTTATACTAAAACCATGGGGAAGAAAACTGTCTTCTTATCTCCATGTTGACCATTCCAGTATTGAATTGATGTACTTTCCTGCATGGAAAGAATAGAAACCTGTCAGCAGCCTATAAAACTGTTTTTCTTCATTTGTAGCTTGTATGTCTCTGCCTACTTTGACACTGTGATTGCTTGCACAAGGCACATGCACAGTTCCATGCCTGAGATGCTATTATTAGATGCATGAAATCAGTTGGAAGGCTGTGTTTTCTAAAGCCTGCCCCATTTCTTAGAGCACTTAAACACTGCAGGATACCGGCTAGGGAAGTGCCAGACTTTATAACAGGTCACATCTGTTCTTCACTCCCTAAAAGAAACCAGGCTCAAAGTGAGGAATACAAAGAGAGGAAAGGATGGGCACTGTGAGAACAGGCTCCAAGCCCTAGCAGTGTTCTATTACACAACATAAAGACAGCTTTAAAAGTCACTGGGGTATGCAGGTTACCTGTTTTGCAGACAAGAGGTCTAAAAAAAGTCACTAATCTAAAATGTATCAGAAGGCAAACAGTGACAACTTGTTTCTAGTTTTAGGTTATGTCCTGAGCAACATTGAACTTCAGCATAATACCAAAACAGAAATGTGATTCAAAACCACTGTTTCTCTTCTTTATCCTCCTGGCTTTGATGAATACGCCTATGTTGCCTCTGCTTGTTCAGTGAATTAAATTATTTTAATCTTTGTTTGGGAGTACTTTCTCATTTCTGTTTGTTCAAGAGGTTAAAAATGCAACTGTGACTTGCCAGGGCTAAGAATGTGTCTTTTCATTATCAATTCTGCCAGGTATTGGTGAGAATGCCATGGTCATACTAAAAAACTTGTCCATTCCTGTTATTAACAGACTATTTTGTCATTATTGCTGGAAGATTGCCACAAAGGGAGAAGGGAAAGAATGGACAATTTCACTCAAAAAAACTTACCAAGTGGGTTGCAAATGGTAAAAAGCAATAACAGGAGCACAGTGTATTTCTTATGGCTGTGGCTGCATAATGGGTCAAGCAATCTCATTCCTAGGCAATGATCTGATGATGCATATGCACTGCCGCAATTGCTGCAATGAAATTTCATTGCTTAAAAAACACTCTTCACAAATCTGCTTTACATAAAATACATTTGATAGAGAAGTGATTGATCTTGTGAATAGGGCTGAGTTAATTTTGAGACTTAAAATGGTTGGCAGCATTCCAAGGAGAGTTAGACTCACAGATTTCTCTGCAATATTCTTATCTGCAGAGGAGTGCCAAAGATTTCTGAAAGAGAAATCAGCTTCATCAGCAGAGAAAATTGCATGCAGCCACTGTGATGAATGCTGTTAATCAGGAAGGTGTCTGTAACACAGGTGTGTATCTTAAGTTGCAAAGTCAGCATGTTGACATTCAATTGAGATCAACTCTTGGTTACTATGTTACTTAGTTTCCAGCAGGGAAAGAAAGTAGGAAAACCCTCACAAAGATGGTATTTTCTGCCTGCAACATCTACTGGACTGCAATAATAACAATAACAACAACAACAATAATTTAACATGTGCTTAGAGTACTGATCTCTGTCTTTTTATGCTTTGCAGTTTTTATTTATATCACTGCCTAACACATATTGCAAACTCTTAAGAGACACACAAAAATGGGCTGAAAAGTGTGCTATTGGATAACAGTGAGTCACGGGGAAGGCTACTGGAATGCAAGGCTCTCCTGCTAAATCACCCCTGTTCTTACAAGGTACCCAGTATAAACAGCCAGAGCCGTAAGAGCTGTTTGATCTGGCAAATACTCCCAGTTTTGTAAGAAAGGGGCTGGAGACCCATTTGCAGATGGAAGGAATTTGAAAACTGGAATTTCCCTCCAGAAAAAGGAGACAAAATTAACCAAGCTCAAGAAGATTGTTGGGTGTATCATTGATTATGCTAACAACAAAATTAACCACAGTGAAGTGGGTGCTTGCAGGCATTAGCAGCATGTGTCTTCACTTGGTTTAGACCACAGATATCTTACTGCCTTCTTTAGAATTTACCTTGGCCTTGATTTACAGAGCAGAGACAAGATCAGGGGAGAGACATAGGCAGCAGTGAATTCGGATTTTAGGGAGAACTAGCAGGCACAAATTTGTGGTCTCTGTAACTGAAACTGCCATCATAGTAAGAGGGGTATCAACAACAGTGTGAAATGTCAGAGTGGGGAAGGGAACATCTAAAACCCTACAACACCAGTCCTTCTGCAGAACTGGATACTTACTATTTCCTTGTGAATGGAATTAACTTAATTTGGAACAATGGGTACAATGAACTAAGAATCTCAAAACTGACAGGTAGAGGCAAAGCATGATCCTAAACTCAGTAGTATCACTAAACTCAGTAGCAGTGTTTAAATTTAGCTCAGTAGATGCAAGTTGTGAAAGGCTGAATGCCCCCCCCCAGCCATTCTGTCAAGAGCCTACATCTGTTTTGGTGTCTAGGGTTACCTGTGCAGGGGTGCTGGAAAAGAACAGAGGGTTTCATTTCTTCACATCTGCTCAAGTTGTCCTAGACATTCAGATTGTCTTTGAACCTAAGTATGGAAGAAAGGAAGAAAACAGACAACAGAAGTGTTGAGCACGACTTTAGACATGTACCACAAAATATGTACTAATGAGGCAGGTCATTATTTAATTTTACAGCTGTAGGGATGTGAACAAATCTTTTGAGGCTTGATTCATTATGCATGTACAGCTTCAGGGCTCTCCATTCTGCAGAGGTGTGCTTACTTATGTACAAGATGAAAATTAAAGGAGCTGCTTATGTCACTAAAACCAGAATGTTTTGTCCCTGAAAGGTGAAAGAATGTCTTCTCTCATATCTTGCCAGACCACATAGCTGCTGCTTTTTGGTGTCAAATTATCTGACTGTGCTTTACTTCTCTGTGCTGTATCTCCTTTATCTTCCTGGCAGACCTCTTTGCAATTTTATTAGTATTTGCACAACTGAACATTAACATTGTCTTGCACAAATGGTTTCTATGGAATGTATGCAGGAGCTTTATTTTTCTTGGTAAAGGATAAGCATTAGCAACCAAGGTGACTTATATGTTAAATCCTTACATTTGAGCTGTAATTAGATTACAGAGGGAAATATTTGTACTGGTAATTGCTCTCCTGTTCTTAACTTCCAGGAATAATATTTTAAATATATATCCATGGTTATATATAAACAATAAATATATATTTTAATATAGATGTACAATATTAATATACATTTATACTAGATATTATTATATAAATTACAAAATATGTATATATATGTATATATATATACATACTTATATTAAGAGTATCTGAAGAGGGTGGTTTTTTGTATGAATATGTCAAAGTCTAGCTTTGCTAAACAATATTATTTTGACAATTGTCCATGTATACCAACAGGAATTTATGCCTGTCTGTCTATGAAAAGTATTTGTGAACAGAAAATCACTCTTGAATCTTAATGTTGGCAGTAATGATTACTACACTAGCTAGAGGTCATAACCATGAGAAATAAGGCACTCAGTTTTGCATATTCTTGGTAAATAAATGATAGAAATACTTTTACATAATCTATAACGTAATGAAAGAGTGTATCTGTAGAGGGATGTTTTATTAATACCCTGGCTGCTGTGTTTTTTCAGAATGTTAATAATAATAATATTATTTGAAGACTTGGAAAGCTAAGGTCATGAGTGACTAAAATGTTAATTACCACTGCAGTGATTTTTGTACCCCTTGCTCCTGTGTGACTGAAAACTCCACTAATTTGCTCTGCTCCTTCTCTGATAGATAGCCTCTGGCTAGAAATTTTGTCTCTTTTTCCTCTGTCTCTTACTCCTATTATCCCTGAAGCAGCACATATTCTTCCATTTTTTTTTTCAAGTTCCTACAGATCTTATTAGCATCAACTATTCTGGTGCCTGATCTTCAGATTTCTTCCTGAGCTTTTGTCCTGGTTTAGGGCAAATTTGTTAAAGAATCTGCAAAGGAGGGCCCCTCCAGAAAGCGAAATCCACACGGCCCCTCCCCACAACCGGTTCGGGAAAAAATTCCTCGGAGAGAGGTGGAAAGAACCTGTTTATTTGACTGGCCCCGCACCCCCCAGCACACAAAATGAACAATACCCGATGACACCGCTTTGAGAAAGATGACAAAATCAGAAAGTCTCTTTTGGGGGGGGGTGGTTGCTCTGTTCTCAGTCCCTCCGGCGCTGGGGCAGCTGCTGCAGCCGAACCTTCAGTGTTCCCAGGTCCCAGTCCAGAGCAGGTTCGAGATGGTCATAGAAACAGGAGAGGAGAAACAGTCCAGGAAGCAATGTGGACTGTTTAGCTAGAACTAGCTAATAAGCAGAGGCAGAAAGCAGAGCAGAAGCAAGAGCAGAAAAAGAGAGCAAGCAAAAGCAGCAAGCTGAAGCTGGAAGTGAAAAAACAGCCTCATGTACCGCTTTCCTCTGTGTCCCTGATAAGAGAAACCCAAACAAAACTTCCACTCTTCAGAGCCGGTCTTAAAGGCACAGAACAGATGAATGGGGATATACAAGCATCATAACGTCACCCCAGGACAGCTTTCCTGTCATCAGCTTTCCCTGGTCCTCCACACTTCCAGCTGCTAAAATAATGCTTTAGTTATCCTACTGTTTTCTATCAGGGCATTTGTTAGTTTCAAGCCAATTCCTGTTAGTTGTTCCATGTTATTCTGAGTTCCAGTCCTCCCAGCTGCAAAATAATTGGTCAGAAGAGTGAATGAGATAAATTTATAACATTCCATAGCAAAACAGACTTTTTTCCCCCTTATTATAAAGCCTAATACAAGATTTCTTGCAAGTGTAATGAGATAAAAATTAAATAAAATCTCAGTTTTTAAGCATAAAACATATCTGGGCAAGCTTTCCAGTGAAGAGTTGATCATTCAGTAGCCATTAGCAACTTTTGGACTCATTTGGCCATTATCTTTGAAAATAAAATTAAATAACCTAGAAAAACTAAATGTAAAATATGGTTTTTGAATGGACCCCTTACATTTTTGACTGGATTTGCAAATCGACTAGAAAAGCAAAGGAGGAAGATTTGTTTATCACCTGCATTTCCTCCGTCTGTCCCACGCTCTCAGCTTACATTTGACTCCAGGCAGCTGGACTCCAGTTTGTGTATGCTTGAATAGATGGAGGTTTAAGGCTGAAGTTATTATACTGAATTCAAATTAGTTTCTAAATCTAATGAAAACACTCTGCTCTAAATCTTCCAGTTCTGAGGCAGGGAAGCTGACCATAACCAGGACATGATGAGAATTTCACTAAATGTGAAAAAGTGTTACAGTAAATGTAACACTTCAACAAGAAGAAAAGACATAAAAGAAAAAAGGCATGTCATATGTTTTTCCCCACTACAACTCCCTAAAGGTTTTAAGTTTAACACATGGTACATCTTAAATGGTTTGAAAAGTGAACCAAAACCACCCTTGAATGAAACAAAGTATTACAGTGACTATCAGTTTTGAACAATCAAACATTTCTGCATCAAAATTATTTTCAGTTTCACTGAAATCACAGTTACTTACAGAGTGATTAAAAAGGACAAAACTAGTGAAGTCTTTGTTCACTTACCCACTCCCAGTTACTACATAATAGGTCTGTTTACATATTAATTTGGCAACCTGTGTTGGGTCAAAAATAAAAAAAAATGGCAACTTTTCTCACATATTTAATCTAGTCTGAAAGAACTACAAAAAAAAACAACCTCACACAGGATCAGGTTCCATGGCACCAATAACAGTGTAGTGCTAAGTACTGATGTGCTTTTTACACATGGCATCTGGTATAGAATGTTAATGACATATTACGTGCCTTAAGTAAATTATTTACTGGTCTTTAATTATGAAGAACTTCACCAGCCATTAAAACCAGGTTCCTGTGAATTCAATGAGTAATCAAAACTTCTACAACGTAAAAGGCTTAGATGAATTGAAACTCTTATGAACTCCTAGGTTTTATTGTACCATGTTAGCACCTGCCACTTCACTAGAAAAATCAAATATTTGATGTTTCTTGATTTTTTGGAGAAATTGAGAGTTTTAGAAATCAACATGCGTAGGCATGATCAGTATGGCAGATTTTGATCTTTCTGCCTCTGCATAATTTATTATACTGGGATTGTAATTTCAAAATAAGAGGGGTATGAAATAATGTCCTTGTATGGATGAATAACTGGCAAAAGGATTGTAAGGAAAGGTGTGAAGGGAAGTCATCAGTGGAGTTCTTTAGTAGTTTATATACTGACTTCTTTTTGTTCAGCAACAATCTGGAAAGGGAGAGGAGCAATGAGATGTGATAGTTTGCCAATACATAAAAATATTCAGAGTACTAAGGATGAGGGACACCATTAGAAATAAGGTCAGAAAGACCTTAGGATACAGAGGGAGTGATCAGATAAAAATCAGATAAATTATGTACATAGGAAAAAAAGATCCCTGGCTTCAAATATAGGCAGGTAGACTCTGAGATGAAAGTTGTGACTTAGGAGCAAAATCTCACTCCCACAGAAGTATTAACTCAATGCACTGTGTCATCTTCAAGCCACCAAGCTCACTGGATATTTTACCTTATCCAGTCCTTGAGTAGTACAAGATATAGTTTAAACCACTGTCTTACATAAAACAGCTGAATGGTTTTCTATTGCTCACCTTCAATGAAACAATTTACCAAATTTGACATTATTTAGCCTAACAAACACACTCAAGTACTACAAGCTGCGCTGAAAGAAAGTGAGATTTAATCTTTTATTCTCATTTTTAATGTTCTACTTGAACTTGGTCAGCAATTCGTTCATGCACTACCTAGGCTGCTGAGCCTGCAAGCCAGTGAGCCACTTCAGCTTGTATCAAATTAACCCTAATGAGACTGCTCAGCTCCAGAGCATCCTAAGCTCTGGGAAGAAAGGCCCCAGATGGAACAGAACACTGTTTCCCTTTTTCTCTGTCCATGAATAAGTTAAAAGCATGTAGACTAAAAAGTCTAACTTAAAATATGAAGGAGTTTTACAGGGGCTTATTATGAGGGGACAGTAGATCAAAATGTCACAGACAAAATGAAAATGAGGTAGTGGTGCTAATATATATTTATTTCGTTCAAAAGACCAATAGCTCCAGATACTGAAAATTCTTAGCAGAACTTTTAACAAAATAAACTATTTCGAAGTAATAATGAAATATTAGTACACATAAATGAAATTGACTTTGGGCAGGAATTTCGAGCTGTGTCTTTTTAAAAGAGCTGCCGTATCTATTTGGACAAAATGGAAAAACCAGCACAAAACATTCCTTTCTATCTATACTGTAGCTAGCATATTGCCCTATTGATCCACACAACCTATTAAACATGTATTTTACCCGTTTATCAGGAAGGATTCAAGATCTGTTTGAGCTGCTACGTGCAAAGTCTACCCAGCATAATTGGTTCACTTTGTAACTAATTGCTGCTGCCAAAGTTGCACCAACCGTGCTGGAGCACGTAGCAGATCCAGACCAGAGGGGTTTCATCAACAAATTAAGCACTGCTTTTGACTCCCCAAACTTTCTAGTCCTGATGCAGGTGATTGCACAGAGTCACATCTTGGTTTGCTTAGATATCTGATGAGATTGATACCAGAAAGGGATCTGGCTAACACCCAAGTTTTTGGCAGGAATAACAAGCACTGGCTTGTGTGCTTCAAAGGAGCTTGTTCCCAAAAAACTCTGTAAACTCACTATCTGTAAAAGCACGGCTGTACTAAGGTTTGTACTGAGCTTTACCAAACATGCAGCCAACCTATACTAAAGCCCTGGTTACCCAGCTTTTGTGCAGCCCTGCTGCAGAAGTCTGTACTTCTATTTTCCCTGTGTAAGGGCACTCCTACCTGTGACAGGTGCTATTGGGAGGTGCTAGGCAGGATCTTGTTGGAGAAATGACACTCCAAAAGTCATCACAGATTTTAACAGAATCACAGCAGTTTTCCCCTTATTGAGGAGAATTAAAGTTGTCCATGAAAGCACTGTGTAACAGGAACAGACTCTACAGGGGAAAAGGAGATTTCAATTTTTTTTTACAAAGGTTACGGCTGATTTATTGATTATTGGAATATTTTTAACAATTTTTTTCTCCTTTTCCCTTTTTTTAGTAAAACAAAACATCTGGAAACAACTTTAAAGCATGTCCCAATTATGTTTCCAAACTGAATAAAAGCAAAGGCCGAGACAGCTAAAACATTACAAGATCACGCTGCTAATTTGAAGTGCAAGTGAAACCCCAGCACCTTATCTGGGGCTATTCCTGTACCTGGAGGAGTTCCAGTCCTGTCACTGGTGGCGTTTCGATGCTGTGAGGCGTGAGAGTGTCGGTAACACTTGGCTCTAAGCGTGCTCATGGAGTTCGCGACAATTAATTCTGTTTGGACTTTTTTTTTTTAACCAATGGGGTTTAAAAAAACCCAAACAAAACAACAAAACAAACTGAAGTTCCAAAAGGAGCGTGGGAGCAGCTCTGTCTCCCGCGAAGGGATTTGCTCGGAGGCCGGTTCAGAGAAGCCTCTGGAAGCGCTCTCCGCCCCAGCCCCGTGCGCG